GGGGGCTTGTTCTGGGATCCTCCGGTGCCCCAGCAAGGGTTAGCAGTGTTCTCAGCCCACCTGAGACCCCTAGCCTGAGAGCCAGGTCTTTCCCAGGGCCCAGGGTCCAAACCTCCTTCCTAACAAAGTAAGTCCTGCCACTTTCTTCTCAGATAACATTGCTGGGCCATCAAGTCAGCATAGGCCTTGGGCCCACCATTCCAGATCACCCAGAACTGTTTACAGGACGACTCTGGAAGAATAAACCTGTCCCACCCTCCTGGCGCCTGCCGCACTCTTTCCGAGGCCCGCACTTGAAGACATATTTAAATTCCAGGCCTACACAGCAAATGCCGTGGGCCACCTTAAACCCAGCGAGCCCTGGCAAGGGAGGGGGCTGTGGGGATGAACCAGGGCTCTTGGAGGCCAGGGATCTTGGTGGCTGGGCCTCCGCACAGCCTTCCAGTGGGAGTGAGGCAGCTCTGGCCCAGTGTTTGTTATTCCATGTCAAAACCTTATCATAAACATTATCCTCAAGTGGGCCACCGAGGCTCTGGGTGAGGAAGGTTTGTTATTCTAAGGTGGCCAAGAGCAGAAAGTATGGAAGCTTGCAAATCTGAGCAGCGCCAGGCTGAGGAATTCAGGGTGACTGGGAAGGAGGCAGAAGTTAGGCTGGCACTTCATCCTAAAGCATGTACCTGTATCACCCTTACCATGATTGCCAGAGGCCTGTCTGCCCTCAAAAAGAGCTCCATGTGGTCAGAGACCCAGCCCACTTTGTCCCCCAAACTCAGATTCCAAATGGAAGGAGCTGAAAGCCAATGTTTGTTGAAGGAATGAATAAGTGCAGCTTCTCTCTGTTAGAAGCACCAAGAGTGCTCATGGAGGAAGACTTGGTGCTTTGAAGTCCTGGTTGTGGGAACCTGGTGTGGAAACAGAGAAGTGTAATTTGAAACCCAGTTTTCCTCTACAACTGTGTGTCCTTGGACCTGTCACTCCCATCTGCTTCTTTCATTTCCCATCTGTCAATAGGGACACCATTCCTGATGGCTTCCTGCACCAGCACCCGACCCCAAATCAGCAGAGAGAGGCCCCAGTGGGCAGTGGTTAACTAAGAGGACAGGTTCCAGGCTGACCTGAACACCCGCCTCACCTCTCTCCAAATCTGTCTCCTTGGCAAAGTGCTTAACATCTCTTTGCTGCAGTTCTTTTTATTTTTATTTTTAAATTCTTACCTCTGAGTTCCTGTAAAGATTAAATAATTAGTTAGCTTAGGAAGTTCCTCACTTGTAGTAAGTGATCAATAAACCTAGGGAATCCTAGTAATGAATGGATGAAGATTTCTTTATAAATCATAAAAGCAGAGTGGGAGGAGCAATGCCCCAGGAGCAGCATTCTTCTGGTGTCCCCTCAGTGTTTGCCATGGGTGACCTGGAGATTCAGAGTCAACAGACAGGCAGGAAAAGGGATAATTCAGTGGGACATGTGCCACTGCAAGAGTCTGTGGACAGGAATCTGTGAGAGGCACCAAATCCCACCAAGGTGGCAGAGTTGGGGATGTCAAAGCTCCCCCGCCCTCCAACTGCGATACCATAGGGACACATCTTAAATCGCCCAGCCTTGGCTTTTCCATTTCTAACCCAGCAATAACAAATATTACTGGTTATTTCACAAGGATTCAGAAAGAAATGAGTATTGCTGGACAGAAACTGTGCCAGTGGACGTCTGGAACTCCTGCCTCAGTCACATGGTCCAGGGCACTACAAAGAGTCCTAGGTTAGGAGTCAGGGTGCACAGGGTTGAGCCCACTGGGCCCCAGCTCACTTGTGACCTTGAGAAAGCCCCATCCTACCTCTTCCAGGACGCTGTCTCCTCTCCTCTTTTAAATGATGAGGGCATAGGATAAGATTCTCAAACTTGACTTCCAGGTACCTGGGGGAGTCCCTGCTTTGTGGGGGCATTGAGCTGGCAGGACTTCAGGCTCTGCTCTGCCTCTCTTACATCAGCCATCAAAGTTTCCATTTTTATCTACTCTACATTTGGAGTTCCAAGGAAGGTTCATTTTGGAAAACAACAAAAAAAGGATTCCATGGCTAAAAAAGGTTTGAAAACCCTCTGGACCAGATGACCTCTTGGGACCCTCCCAGCTCCAAGCTGGGAAGGCTTGAGTTGAACTATTTTCTTCTAAGTTTTATTTAACAAACACATATTCAGCACTTACTCCGTGCCAGGGCTGTTCTTAACACCCTGCAGATTGTAATACACTTAATCCACTAGAACACCTCCCATCTGCATGAGGGCCACATACATGATTACAGAAGGGACTCCGTGAGACAAGCAGGGGCCAAGGGAGCCATTTCCCCTCCAGCCGGGTCTTCTGGCGCCTAGGCCGATGACCTCACCGCAGGTCAGGTGGCGCCTTGGCTGGGCTGTTCTGAGCAGCAGCAGGCAGGTGTGTGCAGCGGCTGGGTGTGGTCACAGGAAGTCTGTGTGTCCCAGGCCCTCAGAGGAGGGGAGCGGATCAGCTCGACACGGACACTTTCATCCAAGGCATGTGACCTGTGGGAGGAAGTGCCTGTTGCCTTAGCAATGTCCACAGTAACAAGGCCACTGCCTCCTGTAATCTATCCCCAGCCACCATGCTGCCATCGACACCCTGTACCAGATGGCTGCAGATCAGATTTCAGTGGTGGCAGCCCGAGCCTAGGGACCTGAAGAGGGCCTGGAGGTAGGGGAGTCTGACCTCATCTCCAGCCAGCTCATTAGGGGGAGCAGCCTGGGCTGCTGCTTCTCACACCGTCCAGCTCTCCTGCCCAGCCATTAGCAAAACTGGGAGGGGACCGGTGAAGGTGATCTCATGAGCACAGGCCTGGCCCTGCTGCCTGTGTCAGCACTTTGGCCAGGCCACAGGTACCTATTTCAGCAGCTTTTCTTGCTCAGATTATGTGTCTTGGTGAGAACTTGCAGCATGTGGTAGAGTGATAGAGGCCTCCAGGTTGTTCTTAAGGCCTTAGCTGGCATCCTTGCACTACCATAAGAGGTGTCAAGATACTAAAGAAAAAAGGGGTGACATCCTTCCTTTACTAGGCACAGTGCTGAGCACTGAGATTCAAAGATGAATGAGATGCAATCGCTTTGAGATGCAATCGCTATCTTCAAGAAGTTTGTGGCCTACTGAGAGGATCTGGCAGTTAAACACAATGGCAATCTGATGTCCACACCAAGGGGGAAGGAAGCATGGCATATCAAACATCATCACCACAGTTATGCCTAGAAACAATGGCATTTCCTGCTCATGTGGCTGAGTCAGTTGAGGCTGTGCTCTGCTGATCTTGCTGGGCTCTCCTGTCTGGGATTCGGCTGATTTAGGGTGGCCTGGCTGGACCACTCTGCCCTATGTGTCTCTCATCCCTCATTGTACTGGCCTGGGCTGCTCTCAGGGTGATGGCAGAGGGACAGGAGCAGTAGCAGCAGCAGAAGCACTCTAGTGCTTTGCTTTGGTACTTCATTTGTAGCGGTTACTGGCGTGCATTGGCCGGAGAGAGTCCAGAGTCAGAAAGGGAGGGGGCTACAAAGTTCCATGGGGAAGGGCATGGACATTGGAAGGGGTCAAGATCTGGGGCCATTAATCCTTCAGTTTACTACTCACAGAGACGATGGGAGCCAAAGGTCCAGATTACTACCTTGGAAACTACTGAAGAGCTAGCCCTTGAACCTGAGGGCAGGAAAGCTTTCAGCAAAAAAGAGAAGGAAGGAGGCCATCAGAATTTAGCTTTTAACAAAAATAAAAGAAAAGGAAAGAAAGAAAACAAACAAAACAAATAAGAAAAACCATGGGATGGACTGGGAGGGGAGGGAACTGCAGGAAGAGGCTATTGCAATAGACCCAGTGAGAGATGCTGGGGCCTGAATGGGTGTGGGCCAAGAGCCCGGGGTCTTGTCATCTAAAGCATTGTGCAGAACAGAATGAGCTGGCCATGGGGACGGAACACACAGCCTGAGGCTTGGAGAGCAGTGGGGACAGGAGATCTGAGATCACCTCTTGATATTTGCTTGGGAATTGCAATGAGTTTTTCTCTTCATCTTTCCTAAATAACCCAATAATAATCAGGCGTCTCCCACCCATTGATCAAAGGAGTGTGGGATACGTAGTCCAGTGATGCTGGCTCCAGCTCCAGCCATGTGAGGAAGAGCCCTCCCCTCCCTGGGTCTTAGTGTCCCTGCCTAAAATGATGGCACCAAACTAGACAATCTATCAAGGACCTTTGCACCCCAGTATTCATGTTCCATGAGAGCCCTGATCCACAGATGCCACAGGCAGTGGGACTACTCAGGAAGTGCCCAGGGACACTGTTCAAAACACAAAGATTCTGATTCCAGAGGGCCTGACCTGGGTATCTGATTTTTGCATAGCATTCCAAGTGACACTGATAACTGGCAGGTCTGGCTGGGCATAACTGTGGCCCCAGGGATAGGCATGTTGGCCTAGAGGACAGCAGCTCTTGTGAACATGCCTGCTGCTATGAGTGTGGACCAGATTTTGAGGACCGAGTTCCTGGGGCCTCCCCTGGATGAGGGACACTTCCAAAGAAGGTGGTCATCCTGTTGGGTTTTGACATCTTAACAGACGTATTTGTTTTGCTTTGTTTGGATGTTCTTAGTTACAAAATGTGCTAGAACACTTCTAAGGACAGGAACACAAAAGGAATTCAGAGATAAACTCACCTAAAATTCCAAACCCAGGCAAGCACAGTCTTCATCCTGCCCTGTCATCAAATAAGATATTGAAACCTAGAGCAGGAGGGGACGGGTGTGAGCAGAGAGCTAGAGATGAGCAGGCTGACCATGCTCAGAGCAGCGGGCGGGAAGCAGGAGGTATGGAAATATCTCCTGAGCCCCCTGGTGCTAGGTGCACACACCTGTTTCAGGCACGTTGCCCTGAAATCCAGAGAGAGGAGGACCATCCTAGAGGCCAGCCAGTCCTCAGCACAGCCCTGATGCCCCTCTCTTTCCTCGGCCAGGTGCTGTTTGCCCTGAACCAGACCCTGCTGCAGCACGAGAGCGTGCGGGCTGGGAGCCTGCAGGTGCCCTACACCACAGAGGACCTCATCAAGCACTACAACTGCGGGGACCTCAACGCCGTCATCTTCAACCACGACACGTCCCAGGTGAGGCTGCTTCCTCTGCCCTAGCTCCACGGTCCCTATGTCTTCAGCTCAAAAGACCTCGAGTCAGGCCCATAGAAACCCATCTGGCATTTATTAGACACCCATTGTGTACCAGGCATGGGCCATCTCCTCTCCAACCTTGATATGCGGGGGCTGTCATCCCCTTTACAGATGGGGAAACTGAGGCTCAGAAAACGGAAAAGCCTTGCCCAAGGTCACACAGCCTATAGTTGTTGAATTATCAATTTATCAAGAGCAGTGATTTGTGCCAGGTCTGTGTGGCTGTGGGGCCTAGGACCTTGAAGCTTAGCCTATAACACCATGGAGTCCTCAGAGAGATTCAGTTCAACATCTAGGGAGACCAAGGCCCAGGGAAGAGAAAGCCCATGGTTAACAATGAACTTGAACTCCACTCCAGCCCAGGACATTCTGCCTCCATTTAAGTTCTAGAGGAACGATTACCATTAGGCCATAGTGAATAGGGTTCTGAGAGGGCTGAGCACGGGTTTGTCCCTTCCCAGATTCCACCATCTTCCTCATTGCTCCCAGGGTCAATTCCTAGACACTTTTCCTGGCATTCAAAGCCCTCCAGAATCTGTCCTCTGCTGGTCTTGTCAGCTTAGCTCCCCACCCAATCACCTTGCTTGTTCTGGAGGCCTATAGCTCTTCTCCTAAGGGAGCCTGTCCTTTTATACCTCTGTGCCTTTGGTCAGGGCCCCTCCACCCCTCTGAATTCCTCCACCTTGGCCATGGTCAACTCCTCTGAGAAACCTTTTCTGGTTCCCTGGATGAAGTAAAGATATTCCCCCAGGTACCTCTGTGGTCCTCCTGTGCTTCCTCTGTCATGGGACTCAGATATCCATTCATCAAAGATGCAGTAGAATTAGGCAGAAGAGGCCACTTCCCTGCTCAGGACACCCACCATCTGGGCCTTCCATTTTCCTCAGAGTCTCCACAACGGCCTGTGCGCCACACTTTCTGCCCTGCTCCCAGCCCCTCCCCCTCTGGCTATCTCCTTTACATACACTCCAGCCTTGCAGGCTCTTTGCTGTCCATGAACCCACCTCACTCACTCCTACCTTCATGCTGGCTGCTCCCTCTGCCTGGAGTGCTCTTTCCAGGCATCCCCGTGGCCCACTCCTCTCCACCTTCAATACTTACGGAGTCATCATCAGTTTAGTGAGGATGGAACCATCCACCAAGTGCAACCTAACCCCCCACTCCCACGCTTTTACATCCTTTATTATGCTTCACTTTTTCCCTGGCCTCAAAGATCCTCCAATGCAATATATGCTTGATGTGCTCATTAGTGACTATTATGTGGTCCTTTCTTTGGGAACACAAGCTCTATGAGGGCAGAAGTTGGGTCTGTTTTATTTTTGATATATCCCAACTGGCTAGAGCAGTCCCTGGCCCACAGCAGGACTCAGTAACTATTTGCTGAATGAATGAATGAATGAAATCCTTTGTAAATGCCAGGTACTATGCATGCAAAGGAACATGGTGGGGAGCCAGAGAAAATAGCCTCTGTAGAGCTTACCCCCTCACTGGGGAGATTCAAGAAGCCATTGTTCTGTGGGGAGCAGTGTGGCTGGAGTCCATCACAGAAACAGCTAATCTAGTCAGGGCTGGGAAAAGCAGGAGAGATTCTTGCAAGGTGAGAAGCCACCGAAACTGAGTTGGACACAGACAGAAGAAGGAATGTTCCAGCAGAAAAAGTTCATGTGAACTAACCAGAGACAGAGAGTAGAAGGTGGAGTTAGAGTTCAGGCCAGAGATGTGCCAGGGCCAAGCTGTGGTGTTCTGTCTGTGTCTGCTGGGTACCCTCCAGACATGGGCTCCCTGAGGGCACAGATAATGCTGTTCATCTCTTAGTTCCTGCTGCCAAGAGGACCCCTCAGAGCCTGGCACAGAGCATGTGCCAGTAAGCAACCTTCAAACAAGCAAATGTAGGCATATTATGTGCTTGGAGCAGCTTAAAAGGTAAAAAAAGAAGGAACCACAGACCCCGCTGTAGGAGGCTTGAGATTCTGAGGGCTGTGACTTGGTGGAAGAGAAGTGAAGGGGAGAACCCGGACACCACAAGGCTGGTAGAAATCTCATTAGTGACAGCATTATGGCAAGGCCTTGACCTGAATCACCCTCTGGGAGAGAGGTGGAGGGAGCTCTGGGCAGAGAGCCTGGCCTGGCTGTGATGTGGCCAACCTGCAAAAGGGTATGTAGGACAAGGTCCTGGCCAGGCTATGGCTGACCAAGCTGAAAGAGGAAGGTGCAAGATGACCTCAGGGGATGGTGAGCTCACATTTTCTTTGGTCTGTGTTCAGAAGCACTGATTTGTCTCTGGTAGTAGAGAACTGCCTCAGGGGTCCTCCAGCAGTACCCATACTGAAGTGGGACAGAGGGTGAGAGGACTGGTCCACCCATAGTACCATAGCCACCCAGGATGCACACCAGAATGCTCAGGCAGAACCTACCCTTGAGGAGGACTAGGCAACTCTGCCCCAGAAACAGAAAGTCTTGTGTCAGGGTAGCAAGGCTGAACCCAGGGCTTACGTGGTCTGGCTGTGGTGGAGCTGCATCTGCAGTCTGTGGAGGCTGAGGATATAGAGGATGTAGGGCTAGTCACTCTGCCTGCAGCCACAGAAGGCTTCAGGGGGAGGGTGAATGGGATTGAGGCTCAAGAGTGGAGTTCACAGGGGAGAATGGAGGGAGGGGCTGGCAGGCAGAGCAGGCTGGTTGGTGGGGCATGGGGATGTGGGCCCACCTGAAGGCATGATTTTGCAGAGCAGGGGGCAGATCATGCAGGGGCAAAAACTCCTGCTGATGGTGAGAGCCTGGAGAGTCTGAGCCCAAGGGTGATGTGATCAGAAAGATGCCTCAGGCTGCAGCGCGGGGGAGGATAAAGCAGCCTCTGGAGGCCAGGCCAAGACAGGTACAGAGCCCAAGTAGATAGTGCTAAGGAAAGGGACTGGGTGCACCTCCCACTTGGTTCCTGCTTCCCTACTGCACTGTCCCCACCTTCAGAATTGACCGTGCCTCAGCTTCTGCAGCCCCCAGGTCACTGGCACTGTCACTGCCCCAACATGGACTGGGCCATCCCAAGGTCCTCCCCCAGGAAGACTTGCCTGTGCCCCCAGCCTACCTGAGGTGTAGGGCAGTTACATATGTGTCTTGTCCAAATGCAGACTCCTTTGAGAATGAATTACAGTTCAGAGTCAAAATGATTGACAGGTGTGGAACATCTCCTCCAACCATAAACCTGCACTGTCCTGGCCAAACCAAGACATGTGGCCCCACCATCTGCTGCTTCCAGTGAGCTCCTTTTGGCCCTCTTCAAGCATACATCACACAGCACTCTTGGGGGTATGTGCGACTCCACTACTAGGCTATGAGCCCCAACTGGGGCAGCAGACCCAGTCTGAGGGTGCTCTAGGGCCCCTACCCTGACACAGGGCTGGACCTGTGGAGGATCGCAGAAGGTCCTGCCAGATGGAAGGGTTTGTTGAGATCAATGTCATCAGCAGACCTGAGCACTTGACCATCAGACCTGACCAGCCTGAGCCATCTCTCACAGCCCCACCAGCCGTGCCCACCCCCCAACCCAGACTGAGCTCTGGACCCTGGGGACTTTACATGTCCTCTTTGAAATGCTATCATGCATCCTGCACTTAAACTTGTCATGGGAGATTTAAGGCCCCTGACTAGTCTAATGACATCATTAATTTGCTCCCATTTCAGCCCTGGCCCAGACCCAGGCCCCATCCTTGGCACAGAGTCAAGGCCCATCAGCATGAAAATGCAGAGAATGTCAGCCAGCAGCTGGACAGCCTGGGGAACCTGAATGTCCCCCTGATTTCTTCATGGCTTTGAAATTTAATTTTTTTGCTCTTGATCTTGTTAATTTTTTTAAACTCCCTAAGGAATAAGTGGAATTGCATTTTGTGCCAGTATACAGTTATGGTCAGGAACCTAGAAGGAGGGGTCACATGATCACGGGTCCCAGAGACCCTTGGAAGAGGGAAGGGAAGTACAGCGTTGCCTTCATGGATCTCATGGTTCTGATGACCCTCGACTTGTCCTCTCCGTCTCTACCCGCAACCCAAGGCCTCCCTTCACAGGCTGCCTGCGTCCTTACACAAGAGGTGATGAAGCCAGCACCAGCCCCCAAGCTAAGTGTGTAATAGATGACGTTCATTGAGACTTCCTTTGTGCCATGCACTGTGTTAAGCACTTTCCAAAACATGTAATCCCTACAATAATGTATCCCCTGCTCCCCACCTTATTTCCAGTTTGGAAACTAATTCTCCCAGAGGCCAAGACACCTTCCAGTTAGAGTAAGGCCACCCAGCTAGTAAGCTGCAAAAGAGGGATTCCAACCCAAGGTGTCCACTCACCCACTCACACTGATTGAGCAAATGTTTATGTGTTGGTACAATGTGGTCTCACATTCTGCAAGCAGGGAGAGAAGTGGAAGTTGGGGAAATGAAAGACCAGGTGAAAAGGATTCTGCAAGCAAAAGTCTGGAGATGACAGTGACACTGATGGGTTGTGGGGAAGGAGAGGTTGTGCTGTGACTCACTGCCTCCATTTCTTCCTTGGCCCCATGCATACATTCAGGGAGATGGTGCTAGCTGGCTAGGCCTGCGATCCACGCTGGAAAGATGAAACCCTGGGCATCAAAGAACACAGGAGAAGCAACTAAAGTCAGGAAAGGTCAACATCAACGTATGTTCAAGTTTTAGGACCTCTCAGAGGGAACTTTGTCCAGGTACCAAGAACCCAGAATGACAAAGATTCTGTTTTTGAACTCAGACAGCTCTCTGCATAGTTTAAGAGCACATTAGCAGTGTCATTGCCAGTCCCTGTGACTGGCGATGGAGGGCAAGATAATAAAGAGCCCAGGGCTGAGAAACCTTCGCGATTCCAAGACAGGTTGTGAAACAAGTGTCGAATGGGAGAAGCTGTGGTCCTGGGGTTGAAATTTTCAAGAAGGGACCAAAAGTGTAAGAGGGGCGGGGGGCAATGCTGCAGTTGTGGCTCAGTAGAGCACTTGCCTAGTGTGTATGAGACACTGGGTTTAATCCTCAGCACCACATAAAAATAAGGGAGGGAGAGAGAGAGAGAGAGAGACACCAAAGGGTTTGTGTTATGTCCTGAGAAGTTGGGGAGCCAGGGGTGGGTAGATGGTGGCTTAGACATTGGAAGAACTGAAGGTGATGCTACCCCCTCTCTTCTCTGTAGAGTGGGGTGAGCCAAATGCAGTTCAAGGCAGCATCCCATTTAACCCCATGAAAACATCAGTCCTGTCCTATAAATTAGAAAAACTGGGGATCAAAAATGTTAAGTAACTTTCCCAGCACCACACAGTGTCAGACAGGGTTGAGAAAGCTCATGTCAACCTAATTCCATACCTTGTGGTCTTCCTGACACACCAAGCAGATAGATTGACCCCCACACCCTCTTGCTGAACAGAATTCATTGCATGTGACAGTGCTAGGCTCAGCACTAAAGGGAGAGATGAGTATGGTCCCAGTATACTCATACTCAGTGTCTAGGAGCTGAGGTTCACCAGGGCAGATCAGGAGGCAGGATGGCACACGTACCATTGTAGTAGCCAGGATTCTCAGGATAGCTCTGTCACTTCACTAGCTGAGTGACTTTGCACATATCTCAGGATATTTTCTGCTCTTGTTTGCTTCATCTGTAAACAATACGTATTTCAGAGGGTATTGGAATTGATGACAGGCATGCACGAGGCATGTAGCCCACTGTCCAGCCTCATAAAGGTAAGTTGCCCAGCCCTGCCTGTGCAGCGTGTATATCTGATATGCACCCTGCTCTGTCAAGAATGGAAGGCAGCCTCTGTCTTGCCTTTGCAGCTACCCAATTTTATCAACACTACCCTCCCACCGCATGAGCAAGTGACAGCCCAGGAGATTGACAGCTACTTCCGCCAGGAGCTCATCTACAAGAGGAATGAACGCATGGGGAAGAGGGTCATGGCGCTTCTGCAGGAGAATGAAGACAAGATCTGCTTCTTCGCCTTTGGAGCAGGTTTGGAGCCCTGACCTCTACTTCATGAAGGGAAAAGTCAAGGCCCAGAGTGGGGCAGGAAAGCAACAGAGCTGGGACCTAAACTCTCCTTCTGCTATGGACAAGGGTCCTTCCATAACAGACCTTGTGGGCTAGGGAAGAGACCCTGCCAAGTCAAGGTTAATTTCCCAGGCTCTTTCCTGCCCCAGGGGCCATACTGAGAGCTTCCACTGTCCATCCCAATCTCAGGCCCACCCAAAAGAGCCAGAGTTGAGGCTGTGAGGGCTTTGTAGCCCCAGGGAGGTGCTGGGCTCTGGCAATCGACAGTCCTGGCTCTAGGTCCCACTCTACCTGAGTCACCTTAGCTATTACCTTCTCAAAGTCTCAATTCCCTCTTCCATAAATGGGAGTGATAACCATAAGTATTTGATGAATTTCCAATGTCTGCCTTTAGAGTGGTGGTAAGAATTAGTGACAGCATTTAAATAACCTGTCACATAATAAGAACTCAAAATGGCAGCCAAGATGACCATCAGCACTATAACACATATAATCACAATATGGATCCATGAACTTGATGCTCTCTGTTGGGGGATCAGCCTCTTCATGCAGAAGTTCATGCAGAGGTTCATGCAGATGTTCAGGTGCAGGGCTTGCTGAGCGTCTTTCTTCTCCTTCACTCTTCCTTCTTTTTCCTGTGGATGTCTCTGCCGGTGACAGCAATATTTATCTTGGGACCAGGATATGATATGTCTTCAGTAACTTTGCTCAATAGCTTATAGCAACATTTTTTTCCTACTAGAATTACCTGCAATTTGGGTTGACAGAATTTACTTCCTGTTTCTTGAGAAGTAAAGGCGATGTTTACAAGCATATTCACCATGCCTGGTGCCAGGCTCATCACTGCTGTCCCCTGCCCTCCCTTTCCCTGGCCCATCCTCAGACACATTTCCCTCCAAGTTCAGCACTCAGTCTAACCCACAGGGGACCCTATGGATGCCCTGACTTTGTGATAGGGTATGTCCAGTGTTTGAGGTCTGCTCCTCCACCACCCATTCAACCCCAAATCCTTCAAGGGCAAGAGCCAAGGGTACATCTGTCTGGACTGCTCTTTCCTCCTCTGCATCCCCTGGCACAGTTCAGGGACAAAGAAGGGGCTCGGGCACTGGCACAGGCCCTCAGAGACAGTCCCACAGCAGCTAGACAGAAAGAGATCTGAGCTCATGTTGGAGCCCTTCCATGGCCCACTGTGGCCTTCAGCAAGACTAGTCCCTTCTCCCAGCCTTAGTTTATTCATTTGAACAGAAAGAGCCAGGACTGGCCTGGGCCTTCTAGGATTCTAGGAGCTGTTCAGACACAGGTGTCAGGGAAAGTAGAGGTCTCACGGAGGGTCTGGAGGAGCCTGCAGGAGCAGAACATTGACTGGTCTCATGGAGAGGGCAGGGCCACTCTCCTGCTGCAGGACACCTATCAAAGGCTTGGTGTGAGTCAGGACAACTTGGAGGACCCATGCAGAGAAGTGGTCCTCAAGCACCCTCTCCCCGTCCTTCACCACCCAGAGGCCACCCAACCCCTACCACCACCCTGTGGTCCTCTGAGCAGTGCATCCTGCACTGGAACAGCCTCAGAGACTCCAACGGGCAGCCAGTGTGTGTCAGCTCACCTCCAGCCTCCCCCTTAGCCCCGGGATGAGCCCCAGAGAGTGAGTCTGAGACAGGCCAGTGACAGCCAGCTGCCCCACTTGAATAGATGGTTCCCACCTGCCTGCCCCAGGACCCAGGACCAGAGTCACCCAGCACCTGGGTGCTCTGAAGCTCTCTTCTGTGGCAGAGGAAACTGTGTCTAAAGAGGAAAAGCACAGCAGTGTGGGCAGCCCTAGATGCTGACCTCCTCTCCTGAAACTCCAGATCCATGGAGGCACAATGTCCACTCAATACCAGGCCAGCACACAAGTGTCATGCCCAGCTCCACTCTCCCATCTCCAGAAATCTGTCAGCCCTAGTCAGTTCTACAGACAGACAACCAGAAAGATCCTGGGTGGTGAAGGAGGGGGAGAGGGTGCTTGAGGACCACTTCTCTGTATGGGTCCTCCAACTTGTCCTGACTCACACCAAACTCATCCACTCTGTCCCTCCCCCCACTGCTAGCCCAGTCCAAGCCTTCACAGCTCCCACTTCCTTGCCTTCTCCCGCCTCTAGACTGCTCCCCACATTATAACTGGTGGATGGGGTTGCGTCTGTCTCCCACCCTCACCTTGAGCTCTGGAAGGGTAGGTACCACTTAATCATCTCTGTGTCTTTGATGGTGAATTAAGGAATGAACATTGACCAGAGCTCCCATCCTGGTCTCCCCTGGTCTGGTGAGCTTCTTAGGCTAAGCCAGCAGTAAAGTGGGGTAAAGCAGTCCCACCTTGCTCTCATGGACCCTCCATGCAAAACAACAGGTCTGGAGCCACACACAGCCTGCGGGTGGCCGCCACTTCTGGCTCAGCCATGCCTACAACAAATGGCCAACTCTGCACAGCAAATCTCTCAACCCAGGAATTATGCAGCCTTCCAGCCTCAACTAGCCATGGGCAAACTGAGGGCCACCAGGGCAGGGGCATGAGCAAAGTTCACTGAGCTGGGGACAGAGCCAGTCAGGACACCAGTCAGGAAGCTGTGATCCAAGAGCTCTGTACAGTGAGCAGGGCAGGCAGCCAACAGAGTGGGCTTGTAGCAGGCAGAGTACTGGCCCAGAATGTGTTCACACAAAACTGGTGACAAGAGCCCACTCTGCTCTTTAGGTTCCAGTGGGCACATCACTCCCAAGTCCCACACCAGAGGACAGGCTGAAGGATTTATGCCCAGTATCCCAGTGGCACACTCCCTCAGTACAGTGCCTGAGACTGAGAAGGGGGACCTGAGGCTCAGCTGGCCTCCTGTTGCCAATCCTTGCTGGGTCCTCAAGGAAAGCAGAGGAACCCCAAGGCTGCGGGAATGAGGGGGCCCACACCACCAGAGAGACACTTAGCCACCCCAGGCATGTGTCTGCTCACTCCAGAGACTCTCTGAGCCAGATTCCATGGGTGTTTCCAGAGAATATCTTAGGAAATAGCCTCACCAGGTGTGGGACCAGGCACTGCCAAGGTCCTGCCCTTCCAGGCTGAGGTCCTGCCATAACAAAGTAGGTCACCTTTGGAATCCAGCCCAGGAAAAGAAGGTGAGAGATTGAGCCTCCAACTGCCTGGACCCTCCAGCACTTATGAAGGCCCTTCCCTCCCAGCTCCATAACCCTGCCCTGTGAGCCCAGCAGGACGGGCAGGGATGCTTACTCCTTGGGGCAGTCTGGTCCTTCTCTGTGCTGCTCTCCAGGGGCTTCAAAGGCTGAGATCTTGTCAGGAGGCCTGGATGTGAAACCTGGCTCTACCACTGTCAGCTAGGAGACCCTAGGAAAGCCATTCCACCTCCAAGGGCCTCAATCTCTCGTCTATAAGAATGGGGATAATGCAGTTGCCTCATTAGATTATGCTAGATACATTCATTCGGCTCTGTTAGAGGAATTATTTTAATAAAAATGCCTAGTAAGTGCCAGCCACCATGCCAGGTTCTCCAATTATGTTACTTCTGATCTTTACAATAACGCCATGAGATGGGTTTAATTATAGATTCCTCATTTTGCACATGAAAACTAAAGTGCAGATGAGTGGCTTTCTCCAGGCCCACAGATAAATCTTCAACTTGTGCCCTGGCCTTCAATGTACAATGTGCAGTCTTAGCCCTTTCCTGCACATTATACCCCTGCTGGATGTGTTCAGAACTGTTGGTAGTTGCCTGCAAAGGGGTGTTTGTTTAGCTGACACATCTCACAGATGTACGTGTGTACTGGTGTCTGAGATGTTTCAGCAATGTGGCACAACTTGACCTCTCCCAGAGGTTATGCAGCAGGCTCACAGACAGTAGAGTCCAGACATGCAAGAGAAAAACACCTGGCCACCTGCTATTTGTCAGGGTCCTGGGTCCTGGGTAATAGACCCATGCCTGGGTAATATTTGGAGGCTCAGATGGAAACCCTGCCTCACTGGGAGTTGACTGTGGCCAGTGTGGAACACACCATGTGAACACTGCCATGGGTGATGTATGCCAGCCCATGGGGAGAGGAGGCCCATTCTTAACTGCCAGGCTCATGCATGTGCACAAGAGCCTCTGAGATCTCCTAGTCCATTCACTTGTAGAAGTGGATTCTTGGATTTTTTTTTTTCTAATTGGCAAGTAACTGAAGAAAAGGAGTATGATGGTAAACTCTTTATTAGCTAAAGTTCTTCAATTTGCAGGTTTATCTAGTGTTCTGGAATTATCTTGTTAACATTATTTGAAATTAAAACATCCATTACTTTAAAAAATTGTGATGATAGAAGACAGAAAGGGGTCTCAAGGTCCTTCCTGAGCAAAATAAAAGCTGGAGAAAGTATTTATAAAAACTGGTAACTATGTTTCCCCCAATTCACCCACCTGTTATTGAAGATAGGAAAACGTTCAGCATGCTCAAGACACAATGGAAGAATGCCCTAGAATGGCTGAGGCTGCACAAACAGAGAAAAAGAGGTTCCAGAGCCAGGAAAGGAGGGAGCAGAGATCAGGTAGAGGAGGAAACCTCTTTACCTGAAACCGGAGAAAGGGACGGAGAGGGTCCGCAGGCAGGTAGCTTGGTGCTTCAAAGGTGAGTGAGTCCTCTACTGATGGCTTCTAATCAGATCTCCATTCTCTAAGTGGAAGGTGCAGTCATCTGCAGGGAAAGAGGAGGAAGGTGGGAAGATTCTTGATTTGAAGAGAGGAGAATATTTGACATAAATGCAAGAGAGATTGGCTATAAGACCCACCAGTACAGGAAGTTAATAGATTTAACACCTGGGCCAACTGTGATTGATTGGTAATAGCTACCTGGAATGTGATGCTGTACAGGGAGATCAAATCACATCAGAGTCCAACAGAGAAAAGTCCTGCTTGATCTGTGATTGTGCTGTGGACTGTAATGCCAGCACA